ATTTTAAACAAATAAAACTGCTTGTAAATCACGCAAAAAACTCCTTGTCAGTACTTGACATTGGTATTAAGAAAGCTACTTGACTAACCATAAATATGTGACTTAACATTTGTTAAATAAGGAAAAATATTTTGGGGGTTGTTCAAAAACTATAGGGTACTAACTGAGGGTTAAATAACTTTTATGAAAAATAAAATGAGAGTTCAAAACTTTTTTAACATTTTTTATTCATTTCATCTGAAGCAAGACAATAAAGCCACCAAGACGCAAGAGGTTACTGATAGTGAAAGAATCTAAGAAAATATTACTGGGGAGAAAGGACAATAAAAGAACAAAGAGACAGAAGATGATGATTGATGTGGCACTTAAATTTTTGAAGATCATAGAAGCCAGAAGGAAGTTTCACAGGCAGGAGAAGACACTATCAGCATAGAACTTATAGTTTTCAATTTCAACATTGAAATTATGAGACCTAACTGCCAATCTAGTACTGTGCTTAAATTTGTGAAGTCAAAGTGCCAAAAAGGAAAGCTCATCAGAACAATTACCACAAAAGTATTTATAGAAAAGGCACAGGGAAGTTAGGCTATAGTGGCAGGAAAATAACCAAAGCCAAGATGTCAGGTCAGGAATTCCGATTTTATATTGTTTTCTCTGTGATTCTGGATGTTAGGTGTAACAAAGTTTTATTAATCTTCAGAGGAATGCTTTTACTTGGGTTTGATTCATGTGGGGTGTGTGCTGTAAAAGGAGGCAATTTGGATGTGAAGAGCGAAAAGTGTTCCATGGCTTAAAACTGAGACATGTTACAGCTTCAAATAGCCTCATCAGATCTAGACTTGAGAATCTTGTATGGATGTCATGCAAACATCCAGCTCATTCATTAATGTCTAAACTGTCATCTGTATACAATCGTTTTCTTAGACCAATGATTAAAAATGACTTCAAACGAATAAATCCTATTAATCTTAAAGACGATCCTTCATCAGACCCTATAAAATGATGCTACAAGATCACAAAGATCTTTACCAAATAATGAAAACCACATCACTTGAAAACTTCCAACAGCAACAACAATAAAAATGGTTTGCACAAGTAACAAGAAGTGAAAAGAACAATATAATCAAGATGTTAGCTTTCTAGACTCCGACCAATATTTGAAACAGCCTTTAGTGAAATGGAGACATCTAACTTCCTGAAAACTGTTTTAAGAAAAATATTTTACAAATTTCAACCTGCCTTAATGCTGTTTGCTTAGTGAATGCCAAATGTTTCCTATATAAACTGGTTAATTTCACATCACCATTAATTACAAATTTTGTTATAGTTTTCAATATTGTTATGAAGTATGATTTCATATTTTATCAATCAAGCAGTAGTTGTTTATCTTGCATAACAAGAGCTGCTCTACTTTTACTGCTTAGGCATTTATATAGTCTCTGCTCTATTCTTACTGCTTAGACATTTATATAGTCTCTGCTCTATTCTTACTGCTTAGGCATTTATATAGTCTCTGCTCTATTCTTACTGCTTAGACATTTATATAGTCTCTGCTCTATTCTTACTGCTTAGGCATTTATATAGTCTCTGCTCTATTCTTACTGTTTGGCATTTATATAGTCTCTGCTTTAGCTATGCTAATTAGGCAGTCATTTATATATCACTACAATTGTAACTAATTGTTTAATTCATTATTTTTTAATGTATAAAACTAATGATGTAATTATGTTGGTTTTTGTCAATTTTGCACAATAAAGAAATCACACATTCATTCCCAATGTTAAAATGTTCATATTTTTGCTTTTAAAGAATTTGTTTCTTTACTGGTTTCATCCATTTAAGTAGAGTTAACAAAATGCTTGCCAGTATTCATAGGAGTACTTGAACTTTGGCTTGATACCTGCCATGCATGATGAATGGGTGCCTATTATGTGAACAATTTCTGACCAATCAAACATGGCTGCCTGGAGGCAAATTGGAAAGCAAAACAAAATTTATATTGATTCAAAACTAGAATTTATTGAATTGTTAAAAGAGAAATTTGAAAATAAATCAATAATCAATCCATTGTTTTCTAGATGAACTGCAACCAATAAATAAACTCTTGATTTTTCAAGATTCTCTGCTCACAGCAAAAACAGCGAGGAATTACATTATTGTAGAGGATTTAATTAAACCAGCTTTTTTAATCTTGTTTCTACACAGTTTGGGAGAAAAATTATGAAGATCTCAAAATTCATCCATTGAGATACTAATGTTTACTGCAGAATATATGAGAAGAGAAATGTCAAAGAACAGCTTCTTGTAAAGTTAAAATAAAGAAAAGTCACAATGTAGATGAATGAATCAAGAACAGTCACAGTGTAGACGAATGAATCAAGAAAAGTCACAGTGTAGACGAATGAATTGAGAACAGTCACAGTGTAAACGAATGAATCAAGAAAAGTCACAGTGTAGATGAATGAATCAAGAAAAGTCACAATGTAGATGAATGAATCAAGAACAGTCACAATGTAGATGAATGAATCAAGAACAGTCACAATGTAGATGAATGAATCAAGAAAAGTCACAGTGTAGATGAATGAATCAAGAACAATCACAGTTTAGATGAATGAATCAAGAAAAGTCACAGTTTAGATGAATGAATCAAGAAAAGTCACAGTTTAGATGAATGAATCAACTGGTGCTGAAAAAATTCTCAGCCTAACCCACTTCCCAAAATCTGACTAAATTTTTTACTGGTTGTACTGAGAACTTTTTCAGACACCTTCATATGAAACAATGAGGACCTTTTGGTATATGTAAGCTAGTGTATTTCCTTGAATAAGCACCTGGTGGCACTTATTTAGAAATTAGACCTTTGTGGGGTGGGTGCAGGGGGTGCAGATTCTTCTTTGTATTTTATCAAGAATTTCTAAATATATAGCTGAAGCCCTATACAAGATGTGATAAAAATAGTCAATGCATTTGAAAATTTAAAAAATACAATAAAAAATTAGACAGGCCTTGTTGGTTGAATTTGATAAAACCTGCTGAAATGTGTGTGTGTATGTGTGCATGTGAAAGAAAGTGAAATACACATACAAATTGAAATTGACAAATGAGGACAGTGATAGAAAGAAAAAGATATAGATATATCTATATATATATATATATATGAAAATTTCTCTGATTTAACCAGTAGAGAAGACAATATTTATGAATAAAAATGACAATAGGAAAACAAAAACATTGGACGTTTTTCGTGGACTTTATCAAAGCAAAATATGAAAAAAAAAAATATTTTACTTTTGATAAAGTCCACATTGACGAAAAATCAGCAATTACCAGTTTTCCTATTGTCATTTTTATTCATAAAATATATATATATATATATATATATATATATATAAAAGAAATATATATATATATACAGAAAAGAAAAAGATATGCAGACACACACACACATATATATATATATATATATATATATATATATATATATATATATATATATATATATATATATTCTGTTAATTAATCCCCCTATATCTTCTTATCAATAACTTTTTTCAATTTATTATTGGGTTCATTCTTACTTTCTACTTTAATTTTAAATTTAGGTTAGACACGTGTTTTCTTCTAATACCATCAAATGGCATCATAAGGTTAATGTTCTGGACGTTCCCTAATAAAACCTCACCTCCTACCACCCTCCTTAACCCCTGCCACATGCCCAGGATCCAACTGGAATAGGGAAAAGTATAAACTCTGTATTAATTGTTACCGGCAAGTTAAGGTTTAGCTTCCAATTAAAATTCCTTACGGCTAACTACTACTAATTCGACTTCCTCATGAACTTCATTCCACACTGGGGTCGAAAAGACAGACAATCACATTCACTGTCTGCTGAAATAGCCTATTCTCCATATGAGGTGAAAGGATTTGTTTGATTATCAAATATATTTTACACACACACACACACACACACATATATATATATATTATATATATATATATATATATATATATATATATATGTAAAATATATTTGAAAAATACATGAAAAAAAAATAACTCACCCACCTCCACCCTCCAAGCTTGCTTTTCTACTTAGAATAGATCTGACATTTAATTGGTTAATCAAGACATACCCACAAGTCTAATTGTAATTCTGACCTTATGTTTCCCCCCTACATTAACTTTCGGAAAAGAGGTAACACTTTGTTTTTAAATTTACTTAAAAATCATTTAATCACTAGTTACTTACCATCGCCTGAAGAAGTACAATCATAGCATTGAAACATGAAAGCTCTTGTGTAGTGATTTCAAAATGTTTTTATTATAATCTTTTATAATTAAGTATAATATATATATATATATATATATATATATATATATATAATATTAGTGGTGTATATATATATATATATATATATATAATATTAGTGGTCTATATATATATATATAAACTCCCAAGAGTATTGGAGTATTGAATTTGTAGGTCTGATAAATTGAATTGTGATTACGATTCCAATGTAATAAATTATAACTATAGAATATTAGTGTTTGAGCCTTTTAGATTTTATATATATATAAACTCACACTCTTTGGGTCCTGTCACTGGATCTAACTAACGCCTTTATCCGCTGTGCCATGTGTCCTCAAGGACAGGACCCAAAGAGTGTGAGTTCAATACCTGGTTAAGGCAGCGGAGAACTTTCAGAGGGAAAATTAACAGGAGATAACTGATAACTGACATCCATTAAACATGGCACGTAGAACTAGAACAGTCTACCCCAGTGAGTGAAATAAAATGTTCAGTTTAACATTCCAACCACCTGAAGAAGGCCAGAGCGTACAACGGCTGAAATGTTGTAATAAATATGGCGAAAAATATGAGGACAATAGTCTGAATAATGTAAATAATGTACATAATACCTCATCTCAGAAATATAGACAGATATTGGGTAGGTAGTTGGGCTGAGGAATTTTCAGAACCCAGTTGTAAATAAACTTACAATATATAAGCTATGACTCCTATTGACCAACAATCTACTTCTTTCCCATATGGCTGCTGGGCAAGGACCTCTGGAGCTGAAATTTAAAAGAAATATGAAATTAAATTCAAATAAAGAATTCAAACTGAAACCAACATTAAGAAATGCAACATAAATTCAAACTTTCTTTGCTTTAACTGCTCAGAAATATTTTCTTTTTTTCCATGTTTACAAGAGTCAAGGATATAAAAATTAGTAAAGACCCTATCTTGCATAGTTACGGGTCTCCTTTGGGCAATATAAATCTCTTTTTTTTTTTTAATATGTACACTGTTGTTCCTCAGTTCAAGTCCCAAGTGCCACTCAAAGTAGAGAGGTACTAAATGAGGTTTGTTGTCGGAGCATACAAGGAGGGATTAAATGGTGCATATTATGAAAGCATGTAAGATAGTTTTGAAGAAATTAAAACTGTAGTGATCAGGGAAGCATCCTCTTTGGGAGTCTGTTCCACAGCATAAAAATTCTAGGGAAGAAGATGTTTGAGTGGAACTTCCTCCTTACCAATGGAATAAAAATGGAATGAGGATGAATTAACTGTTTACATAGTATGGTGTGTCTGAGCTGTGAATGTCTGGACTGGTGGAACTAAGGCACATTGAAGAATTACAAGAGTTCCAGGTCTTGAATAGTTAAAACACTGTTCTGTATATGTTATTAAAAAACTTGTCTAATTTAGATTCCCACTGAGCACTCCACACTTATGACCTCATGTCATACTAAACAAATTAAAATCTCAAAGTTTGGACGACACTAGGAAAGACAACTGTTATGAAATTGCATGAGAAACATTTATAGGGATGCAGAAGTAGATTCCTTTTTGGTAGGTTGGAATTACAAGGGTTCCAGCCTGGGAGTGATGACAACTCATGGCAGTAAAGAGAATGAATAAAAACCATGTGGACCAAACAAGGAATATAAGAGATGTCACTCAGCCTGGTTTTTTTCCTTCTGGGAAATATTACAAGACTTTCTCAGTTTAGGACCTTTCACACGGCTTGTTGTATTCATATATATTATAGTTTCTCGGTGGAACAAATAGTATGTCCATCATTTCTTGTATGACATCTGTATGTAAAATCTTTTTGAACACGATGCATATTTGGCATTCATTTCTTTCAGTTATACTGGTCCTTCATTCCAGTGTGTTAGCATATCAGGGATTTACAAATGCCCATTATGGGCAACTGGAAACTGGAGATAACCAAGATAGGTATTCTTTATTTCCAAGCACACAATTTATAAGGGTCATTAGATCGATTAACAGTGTGACTTCTCAAGAGACTGAAACACCAGGCATGTCACAAACAAATGTCTGTAATGGGCTCGGGGAGAGTACAAGTAGCATCAAATCAGAAAGGAAACAAAACCATTTCACTAAAATTGGTTGCTTGTGTTGAAAATGGTAGAAATCTCAAATAGCAATGAGTAAATTAATTGATGGAAAACAAATTTAAGATAAAAACCACAGTATACAGGTACACCTTTGTTGGCATATGCTACATATTAAAAAAATGATGGACACCAGTCATCTCAGATCAGATAATACTGAATCTCTCACATTTTTAGTTAAAGTTCGTATTAATCTATCAATATTTTGGTATTGTCATTCAGTTGGTTAATTCAAATCTTTCATCATTAAATTAATTTGTGGAACACTGACTGAAGAGTTGGGAATACATGAGAAATATTTGAGAAAGTTTTTCCTCCAGTATTCTAACACATATGATATCATAAGGTATTGCTAGGGAGCCCAGGATTCTTCTTTTATGTACTGTGCCACTTCTGGATATGGGTGATCATGGCTCTCTAAAGCTTCCAGTTTTAATGATCAGGTCTTTGATTTTATCTACAGTGTAATTTTTGTTTGAAACAAGAATGAAGTAACCTCTTAAAAATTCTTTTATACATTGGAAATCTAATGGGACACACAGAAATTTTTTAGGCAAACTCCTGGAGGTTGATTGTATAGAAATAAAGAATTTAGAAATTAGTTTCCATCATATTTTTTTAAAGATGTGCATGAGGGGGGATGAAATGATTAAAAAAAATGAAATAAGCAAAGTTCTTTTGGATTTGGAATATAGGTTAAGAACAAATATTAAACATTTTTTTAAAACTTAAAAGATAAAAACACTTTAAATTTCTTACCTACATAACCCGGAGTTCCACATGCTGTTGCCATAATTCCGGATTCCTCTGTCTTGGACAAACCAAAGTCACTAATCATGATTTTTGAGTCTTCAGCACTACTATAATATAGGAGATTTTCTGGCAGTAAGTAAAAATGATAGCAAAAATTTAATCTAAACTTTAAAAATTCTTCAGTTGGGGGAAATGGAAGGAGGAAGATTTTGCCAGTCTTTCAAGTTGGGAAAGACAGCTTGCCTGGAAAATCAGCATCTGAAATCTTAGCTGAAATCCAAAATCTGCAGCTATTTCTTGTGCTTTTTGTTCTTATCCACTAGTCTTCTAAGGTGTATCTCATTGTCTTCTAAGGTGTATCTCATGTTATGTTGTCTTGTAGAGATTTTATTTTATCCATTCCTGGCTCAACCTGTTGAAGCCTCAACAGTGCCCCATCAAACATAGAATTCAGATTGGCATAAGATTGGCTACAAGTGTTGCTAGAAGAAAATCAAAGTTAATATTCAACAGCCACAAGGATCCCCATTCCTGGCTTGTATTCAGAGATAGTTTTTCTAGTCTGCTTACCAAACAAGAGAGCCCAGTCTGCTTTACTATTTTACCCATAGTTGAAGGGAAAAAGAGTTGTGTTCATTCATTTCACAATGGTATTAGAGCAAAGTAAACAAACTTTCTTAGCCAGAATTTGAACTCTGTATGCTGGTTCTAATGCAGCTAAATATCGTTTTAATCTGGCACTAGTAGGAAATCTACCAGAATCTTACAGTTTCCAAGGCACACATTCTGTTTACAAGATTTTAGACAGAGGCTTTTCTTGAGATTTTTTAAACAAAAGATAGAGTAAGACACTTTTAAGAGATATTTTCTCGTTAAAAATTTGTAAAAAAATTATCAGACAAACATGATTTACTGTGTTATATAAGATAAAGAAGTGTAAACAGTGCAATATCATAAATAGAAAATGAAAAATGCAAGAAGTGTGAGTAAATGGATGAAAGGTAGTGACAGAGAGAGAGAGAGAGACTGAAATAAGGAAAAGAGTGGGAGAGAAGAAAATAAAGAAAAGAGAGGGAGAGAAGGAAATAAAGAAAAGAGAGAGAGAGAGAAGGAAATAAAGAAATGAGAGAGAGAAGGAAATAAGGAAAAGAGAGAGAGACTGAAATAAAGAAAAGAGAGAGAGACTGAAATAAGGAAAAGAGAGAGAGAGACTGAAATAAGGAAAAGAGAGAGAGAGAGACTGAAATAAGGAAAAGAGGGAAAGGGAAATAAATGAAAGAGAGAAGGAAATAAGGAAATGAGAAAAAGAAAGAAATAAGGAAAGAGGGAGAGAGAGAGAAAGAAGGAAAAAGGGAGGGAGAGAGAGAAGAAAATAATGAAAGAGGGAGATAAGGAAATAAGGAAAACAGAGAGAAGGAAATAAGAAAAAGAGAGCAAGAAGGAAGGAAGTAAAAGAGAGAGAGAGAGAAGGAAGTAAGGAAAAGAGGGAGAGAGAAGGAAGTAAATAAAAGAGAGAGAAGGTTATAAGGAAAAGAGAGAGAGTGAAGGAAATGAGAAAAAGAGAAAAATAAGAGAAAACACAAAGAATGAAAGTAGATAAACGCTAAGAAAGAAAAAAGTTTTGCATCTATTTATTTACCTATATACAGGATATATCTACCTAAATATCTCTTTTTATCTATCTATCTATCTAAAGTTAAGCGACTGGAAATGCAAAGAAAGTGAGAAAGAAGAAAATATTTACATTGTTGTATGCTCCCACACCCTAGAGATTTTCATTAGTGACAAAGCATATCCATCTTGGATGAATGGAGAAAAGCCATACTCATCTTTGCAGGAAAGTGAAGGCATGCTCTGTTTGCAGAACAACGAGAAAGGATACCAATCTATATGGAACAACAAGATGGCACATCCCTATTTGAAGAAAATAGTGAAAGCAGGTCCATCTTTGCAGAATGGGGGTGAAGGTATGCCCATCTTTGCAGGACAGGGAAAATGTACATATCCATCTTTATGGAATATGGTGAATGTACATTCCATTTTCCGTAACAGAGAGAAGGCATGTCTTCTTTGTAGAAAAGCTGGACGGTACATCCTAATTTGCAGAACGGGCAGAAGACATACCCATCTTTGGAGAATAGGGAGAAGGCATTACTGTGGGACATAATGAAGACATGTCCATCTTTGCAAAACATGGAGAAGACATCTTGGTAGAAAAAAAGAGAATGTACATCTTTGTAGAACGCTGGTAATTTTTTAAAATCATTTCACTTTAAGCAAAGCAATAAAGCCACCAAGACACAAGGGGTTATAGAGTGTTAGAGAATATGAGAAAAATATAAAAATATACTATTATAGAGAGAAGACAATTAAAGAACAAGGACTAAGAAGACAGAAGGTTATTCACAGATAAGATGCCTTTAGTACTTTGCCAAAAATGGTAGAATAATAGGCTGATAGAAGGATCAGACAGTTTGCCTGAGTTCTTAAAGACTTGAACTACGGAAGAGGATTTTGCCAAAAATGGTAGAATAATAGGCTGATAGAAGGATCAGACAGTTTGCCTGAGTTCTTAAAGACTTGAACTTTCGGAAGAGGATTTTGCCAAAAATGGTAGAATAATAGGCTGATAGAAGGATCAGACAGTTTGCCTGAGTTCTTAAAGACTTGAACTACGGAAGAGGATTTTGCCAAAAATGGTAGAATAATAGGCTGATAGAAGGATCAGACAGTTTGCCTGAGTTCTTAAAGACTTGAACTACGGAAGAGGATTTTGCCAAAAATGGTAGAATAATAGGCTGATAGAAGGATCAGACAGTTTGCCTGAGTTCTTAAAGACTTGAACTACGGAAGAGGATTTTGCCAAAATGGTAGAATAATAGGGGCTGATAGAAGGATCAGACAGTTTGCCTGAGTTCTTAAAGACTTGAACTACGGAAGAGGATTTTGCCAAAAATGGTAGAATAATAGGCTGATAGAAGGATCAGACAGTTTTCCTGAGTTCTTAAAGACTTGAACTACAGAAGAGGATTTCCAAAAAGCATCAAGGCATTTATTGTAGAGTTTTGAAAGAACAGGAGTCAGACCAGGAGCACATTTCTTAAGGACTTTTTCAAGGATACCATCAAGTCCACATGCTTTTGAGGATCCAATTTAGAAATGATAGCAGAAACCATAGATATGCATATCACTCAATAGAGCAATGGTTCCTAAATGGTGTGGCGCTCCTCATAGATGCAGCAGTAGAGGATAGCAGGTGAGGTGGAATGATTGAAAGACAATCAAAGATTTAGAAACAGTTTCAAAAAATTCATATGCCAAAAATAAATGTGATTTCAAATTTTAGAATATTATTATGGATTACCTGCAGTTGCAGGCTTGAGTCCCAGTATAAATTGTTATAAATAATTATTGACTGATTTTTATCATTGTGATATTTTTGCATTATATCAACTACAAGTATTAAGAATGTAGTAACTAGTGTCCGCAAATTGGAGGAGAGAGTTATCAATGATAATTTTCTGTCTTGAATCTGCAGTTATCTCCTTTAACCGTCTCTTTTGTTTTTTTTTTTGAATGTACTTTTTTATCACATAAAATTTGGTGAGGCATGAGTAAATTTTCATTCTAAAAATGCGTCTTAGAGAAAAAAAGTTTGGAAATCACTTTAATCGAGTTTCAGTTCTAAATGGAAAGTCAGCCAAAGATACTCCAAGGATCAGTTCTAAATGGAAAGTCAACCAAAGATACTCCAAGGATCAGTTCTCCAAATGAGTCAAGAGTAGAATTTTAAGAGACTTTACAAGCAAGAAAATTCTGCTTTATCAGCAGTGACTGATTTTTATCATTGTGATATTTTTGCATTATATCAACTACAAGTATTAAGAATGTAGTAACTAGTGTCCGCAAATTGGAGGAGAGAGTTATCAATGATAATTTTCTGTCTTGGAATCTGCAGTTATCTCCCTTTAACCGTCTCTTTGTTTTTTTTTTATTTTGAATGTACTTTTTTTATCACATAAAATTTGGTGAGGCATGAGTAAATTTTCATTCTAAAAATGCGCCTTAGAGAAAAAAAGTTTGGAAATCACTTTTAATCGAGTTTCAGTTCTAAATGGAAAGTCAGCCAAAGATACTCCAAGGATCAGTTCTAAATGGAAAGTCAACCAAAGATACTCCAAGGATCAGTTCTCCAAATGAGTCAAGAGTAGAATTTTAAGAGACTTTACAAGCAAGAAAATTCTGCTTTATCAGCAGTGACTGATTTTTATCATTGTGATATTTTTGCATTATATCAACTACAAGTATTAAGAATGTAGTAACTAGTGTCCGCAAATTGGAGGAGAGAGTTATCAATGATAATTTTCTGTCTTGGAATCTGCAGTTATCTCCCTTTAACCGTCTCTTTGTTTTTTTATTTTTGAATGTACTTTTTATCACATAAAATTTGGTGAGGCATGAGTAAATTTTCATTCTAAAAATGCGTCTTAGAGAAAAAAAGTTTGGAAATCACTTTAATCGAGTTTCAGTTCTAAATGGAAAGTCAGCCATAGATACTCCAAGGATCAGTTCTAAATGGAAAGTCAACCAAAGATACTCCAAGGATCAGTTCTCCAAATGAGTCAAGAGTAGAATTTTAAGAGACTTTACAAGCAAGAAAATTCTGCTTTATCAGCAGTGACTGATTTTTATCATTGTGATATTTTTGCATTATATCAACTACAAGTATTAAGAATGTAGTAACTAGTGTCCGCAAATTGGAGGAGAGAGTTATCAATGATAATTTTCTGTCTTGGAATCTGCAGTTATCTCCCTTTAACTGTCTCTTTGTTTTTTTTATTTTGAATGTACTTTTTATCACATAAAATTTGGTGAGGCATGAGGCATGAGAGAAAAAAAAAAAGCTGGAAATCACTTTAATCATTTCTAAAAAGTCAGCCAAAGATACTCAAGGATCAGTTCTAAATGAAAGTCAAAAAGATAAATCACTTTAATCAGTTCTCCAAATGAGTCAGTTTTTAAGAGACTTTACAAGCAAGAAAAATCAGCAGTGACTGAAATCATTGTCATTATATCAACTACAAGATTAAGAATGTAGTAACCAAGGAAATTGGAGGAGTTATAAATGATAATTTTCTGTCAAATCCAAAGAACTACTGTACTTTTTATCACATAAAATTTGGAGGCATGAGTAAATTTTCATTCAAAAAAAAAAGTTTGGAAATCACTTAATCGAGTTTCAGTTCTAAATGGAAAGTTTAAATGGAAAAGTCAACCAAAGATACTCCAAGGATCAAAAATGAGTCAAGAGTAGAATTTTTATTTACAGCAGTGATCTGATTTTTTTATCATTGTGATATTTTTGCATTATATCAACTACAAGTATTAAGAATGTAGTAACTAGTGTCCGCAAATTGGAGGAGAGAGTTATCAATGATAATTTTCTGTCTTGGAATCTGCAGTTATCTCCCTTTAACCGTCTCTTTGTTTTTTTATTTTTGAATGTACTTTTTATCACATAAAATTTGGTGAGGCATGAGTAAATTTTCATTCTAAAAATGCGTCTTAGAGAAAAAAAGTTTGGAAATCACTTTAATCGAGTTTCAGTTCTAAATGGAAAGTCAACCAAAGATACTCCAAGGATCAGTTCTCCAAATGAGTCAAGAGTAGAATTTTAAGAGACTTTACAAGCAAGAAAATTCTGCTTTATCAGCAGAAGATGTTAACACCTCAAATTGAGTAAAGAGAGGAGAGATAGAAGACTTACTCTTATTTAACCCACTATTATAAAGCCGTCAGTAATCATGAGAATCAAACATGTTAGAGGCTATACAGTGCCTCATTCTATCAGCAAAACAAAAACTAAGCATCTTCAAGGGCACATTTACCATAATTTCAAGCAGACACGAATAGGCATCTATTATGATTGGAATTATCATGCTGGTACACTTGGTCCAAGTGATTCCTGTGGGCTGTAGCAGCTGAACAGGCCGGCGTGAACCAAGGAAAAGATTGTGGTTTACCTGGTATTTGCAATAAGGCACAAAATCATCAATGTTGGCTTTAACCCAAGAAAAAAAACCTCTGTAGTACAATTTGCAATAGTAATGTTAAAAATATCATTCCAAGATGGTGAAATCTAGTGGAACAAAATGGCATATATGTGGTTAAATAAATCTATGCACAAATATTGTTTTTAAAATTCACTTGAAAAATGCCATGAAGTTTTGTTCTAACCAAATACACTTGACATTTTTGATAAGATGCTTTTTATTATGTCTCTATTCTTATTAAATTATTTCCAATCAAATATTATACATTATTTCATTGTCTTTCTTTAATGTTATCATCTGTCCTAAGTAGATGTATTCCAGGATTTCTTCCAGTTTTTTATCCTCTATCATTTTGCCCTTTTTCAGAACATTACATGTGAACATTTGTTATTATGACTAAATCAAACAAATAAAATCTGACATGCATTTCGTATTATGAATAGACACATTTTCCAAAATGCAGAAAGTCAAATGCACAAATGTTCATTTTTGTCAATGTTATACAATTCTGTATACAAACATCCTCCCTTCTAATTTATCTTGCAAAGAAAAAATAAACAATGTCAGAAGAAACAATAAAATTAAAAAAAAAAAGTGTCATAAGAAAGTAAGTGGTGTCAAGTAGACATTTTATTATTATTTAAAAAAACAAAACAAAAGTGGTTACAAAACATGCTCAATCCAATTTAGAGAGGCTGTCCTTGTTTGATAATAAACACTGAATGGACACTTAATTATAAAAGTCCACTTGAAATCAAGCAGCAATGGCTGCGTTCATAAGTTAAGAGGTACAACCTTAAAGTTGGAAGGCCCCAGCACGCAGTATTAGAATATTTTATTTCTTGTGTCAGTAAATATACTTCTCGATCATTTATTCCTCCCACTTCCACGGGTGGATATTCTTTTTTTGGAGTAGGAACAGATTCTTTAGACTGTATTTTGACTCCCAAAATTTGAGTGTCATTGATAAAGACAAAGATACATCATACATTAATCAATTCAATCTCATGTTTTCAACTTTGTTTGTTACAGTCATAATGTTTTGACCATTGTAACAACCACCTTCTTCAGGTGTCAGTTGTATTTGACAACCGTATGTAAATTTCAAATCAAATCTATTGTTATTCTGTTGTCAGTTTCAGGGAGATATCTTGTTGTCAGTTGTTTCTAGTTAACTTCTCTTTTTGATGTCATCTTCGTTTCATGCAGAAAAAAACAAAAAAAAACAGAAATAAATTGTTGATTTTTTTTTCTTTAAATAGGCATTGAATCTTAAAGACAGAATAGCAATCAAGGTCCTTGATCAGAGCTGAAAACCAATTCACTGCTCATCTGTCTCTACCTAATCACCATCTGCAGTGTTTCAACCGAAAATATGATTTGGCAATCATAAGAGAACACAATGACTACACAAGCTAATTCAAAAACTCTTAGAACAATGTTAGTAAAATAGTAAGAAGTGTCTTTGGTGGTTATACAGCATTTTTGTTGTTTGTGTATGCATATTGTTTCAGAATTGGCTGAATATACAATGCACATTTGACAAGTGACATGCAGAGTTTTAGTTATTTTTGGTGATGCCTGGGGCTAACTCCTTAAGACTCAAGTGGAGTGAGAAAGGAAGACATTTGAAATATGTAAAAATATTGAAATATGAAATAAACACTTTATTCAAATTAAATTTAAACTAAATTTTTATTTCACTCATTGATTAGATGCCCTCCTGAAACACATGCCTGGGGTCATTGCACCCTCTGCCCCCACTTCTGCAGACTACTGCATTTGGCACTGTTTACTCTCCATATTTAATCTACGTAAGAAAGTGCAACAGAAACAAAAGGTTTATGGTATTGATGAAGTAGGTGCAAGCATGTGTTGAGAATCGTTTACAAAGTTTTAAAAAAAAGATAATTTTACTTTATTTTGTTGAAAATGGTGTCTGAATATAAAATGCATTTTTGACACTGTTTGTGTTTGGTGTTCAATTTGTGCAACAAAGAGCAGCACAACCTAGACAATGTATCATTGGTACTTGCGACAATGTAGGTGCAAGTATGTTTTGGGAATAGTTTGAAATGTTTTAAAAAGGAGATTTATGGCTTAAAGATGAAAGATGATTTGAAAATTGGAAAATACCTTTAAGAAAAATGCAGCACAGAAAACATGAGAATTTGTAGAAAATCTTTTAAAAGTCTGAGGAAAAATTCAGAAAATGGTTTTCACATAAACTTTCAGAAACAAACATTTTATAGGATTAGCTACTTAAGGGATTATACTAATTATTTTTGTCAAAATGATCCTAGTACTTGGGGATTGGATTATACCAAGAATTCTCATCTATTTTTTTATCACTAGTGTATTTTTAACAATGAACGAAGATATTCATCCAAAACGTGCAGTTGGCAGGGATTTTCTTTCAATTTCTATTCTCATGTAGCCAACAACTACATGGTAATTCCCATGTGGGAAATTATTTTACAGTACATCAATTGTTTTTATTTTTAATTAATTGTTGACAAAGCTGCAAAGAAAAAACTTAATCATTCATTTAAATTTTAGTCATTAATTTGTAAAACTATTTTTTCCCTTCGAACCATGAAAATGAATAAGATATGATCTGAAAAGTTAAAGGGCACTAGTCATCATAAAAGTTTGAAGGCCACTAGTCTTCGTAAAAGTTTGAAGGTCACTCGTCTTCATAAAAGTTTGAAGGCCACTAGTCTTCATAAAAGTTTGAAGGCCACTAGTCTTCATAAAAGTTTGAAGGCCACTAGTCTCCATAAAAGTTTGAAGGCCACTAGTCTTCATAAATATTTGAAGGCCACTAGTCTTCATAAAAGTTTGAAGGTCACTAGTCTTCATAAAAGTTTGAAGGCCACTAGTCTTCATAAATATTTGAAGGCCACTAATCTTCATAAAAGTTTGAAGGCCACTAGTCTTCATAAAAGTTTGAAGGTCACTAGTCTTCATAAAAATTTGAAGGCCACTAGTCTTCGTAAAAGTTTGAAGGTCACTAGTCTTCATAAAATTTTGAAGGCCACTAGTCTTCATAAAATTTGAAGGCCACTAGTCTTCATAAATATTTGAAGGCCACTAGTCTTCATAAATATTTGAAGGCCACTAGTCTTCATAAATATTTGAAGGCCACTAGTCTTCATAAATATTTGAAGGCCACTAGTCTTCATAAAAAGGCCACTTGAAAAGGCCACTAGTCTTCATAAATATTTGAAGGCCACTAGTCTTCATAAAAGTTTGAAGGCCACTTGTCTTCATAAAATTTGAAGGCCACTAGTCTTCATAAATATTTGAAGGCCACTAGTCTTCATAAATATTTGAAGGCCACTAGTCTTCATAAAAGTTTGAAGGCCACTAGTCTTCATAAATATTTGAAGGCCACTAGTCTTCATAAATATTTGAAGGCCACTAGTTTTCATAAAAGTTTGAAGGCCACTTCTCTAAAGTCATCATAAAATTATTTTTAAGGAACTTCAAGGTTAAAATAGTGACTTATTTTCCTCCATTGTTTAGTGTTCAAATCCTGGTAAAAAACAAGATTTTTCTATGCTGATATACAAGGAATGAAAATTTTCTCCTCGTGAGTGATTAAGGTAACATGACTTTAGTAAATATCAATTTTAGTAGACAGAATTTATTTTTGAGCTCATAATTAACTTTGTGTGACAATCCCAAAATATGATTCCTAATTGTGCTGAGTTAGGTTGCAAAGAAAAAGTGTATGGTACTCACCTTCAAATCCCGATGCACGACTCCTCGATCATGCATGTAGTCTACACCTTCCAACACCTGTTTGATCAATGTGCTTGCATCTCTTTCTGTATAGCTGCCTTTTTCTACAATGCGATCAAATAATTCTCCACCAGTTACCCTGAAAAAGAACATGAAAAAGTGACAGTATAAAATACAAAAGAATTTTACAGTGAAAATATATATGCACGTATCAGCATGAAACACCAAGTCATGCTATCAACGTGGGATATTTTATGTATATTCATTAATATATACTTAATAGCTCTGTTATATTTGCATTGAGTGCTGTTTTTATAACTCCTGAGAAAAAATATATATGTACGTGTAAGTATATGTGCATATATGTATGTTTTTATCATATTCATATATATATATATATATATATATATATATATGTGAATGTTTGAAGACCACTAGTCATTGTAAAAGTTTGAAGGCCACTATATATATATATATATATATATATATATATATATATGAAGAAACATAGTTTTAAGGTATTCTATATTTATGTGATATTGTTCTCAATATCAGAGATAAAGCATATGTAAGTATGAAATATAAAACTGGACACTGAAATTCAATAGGCAACAGACTGTTTTATGATAAATGCAATCATGGCCTGATGATTGCATTTAGCATGAAACAGTCTGTTGCCTCTGAGTGTTGACTTCAATGTTCACTTTTAATATATATATATATATATATATATATATATATATATATATATATGGTGGGCTCTCTCGTCATATTTGACGTACAAGGGTCAAGCAACTCAGTTCCTAGGATCCAAAAGCCAGACACCAGCACATATGAGTTGATTATAATAGTGAAGGCTTTGTGCAGCACCAACCACACTTTTTGAAGGGCTGAATACAGAGACCTGGTGCATTACATGCCACAAGGTCCCCAAACAACCATTTTCAGGTTTTGAATTCAGAGTTGTCCTTCTCTTAGACCAGTTGCCATTCATGGCTATAGAACTCAGTCTGTCCTGCTAATTACCCATAGCTGGAGGGAGAAGAGGAGGATTAATACCATTCCCAAGGGTATTAGCATGTAAGTTAATGTAATGGATTTGACTAGAATTCGAACTTGGCTCTCTGAGCCCTCAGTCTGAGCCACTACCCACTACTCTACCATTCTTTCTCTCTCTCTCTCTCTCTATATATATATATATAGCATTGCACAACAAAATCCAAAATTACCTCATATGGGGAGGGAAGATAGACCTATTTCAACTGACGAAAACTACATCTGTCTTATTCAACCCCAGTGTAGGATCCACTTGAATAATATACCAATATATTTATTACCTGTATTATATTTATATATATTTAGGTAGCATATCTTCATTCAAACATGTTTCATTAGATAATATAGACATATTGTGTCTACTTATTTTTATACTGATCTTAGAAAAGGTCAAAAGTACTTGGGTTTACAAAAAAACTACTGCACCTTCCTTGATAAATTTCATCTGGAAAGGAGCAGTATAAAAAGAAACAGACACAATATGACTATATATCATTCAATAAAACATTAGATATATATAACATAGTACCTATAAAAAAAAAGGTTTGTTTATTGATATAGGGCTAAATTATACAAATATATTTTTGTACAAAAGTATTTATTTTAATAATTCTTTCAGAGCAATATTCTTTATAAAGAAGGATTATTCTATAAATTCACCCTGACCTTTATAATCTTCCATTACAGTTCAATTCCTTGTTCTACTTTGAGCTACATACACTTGGCTATGCCTGAATATGAGTCATGCAAGAAACAAACCTACTTTTCCTTGAGATTTATCATCATTGTTAATATAAAAATGACTGGAATGCTAAGTTAAGCATGTATAATTTGGCATAAAATCAATTAGTTGAAAAAAGAACAACTGAAGTAATTTTTAAAAATATTTATAGACTAATAGTAAGGAAAATAACATCTTTATTGCCAGGTTGGGCTTTTATTCAATGAAGTTAATATCTCATTCACTATATATATATATATATATATATATATATATATATAATCATTTTATGTTTATTATATGAAATTAATGACAATAATGCTCAAAAAACATAATTAAAGTGTGATAGATTTTAAATTTTAATGTGATGTATGTTTTATTGTTAAAATGTCATAAAAATTCAAGGGAAATGTTTGTTTTAAACAATTTTTATGTAACACTATTATCTGGAAAGAATGTAAATTTTAATTCAAGTAATTAAAACATTAAAAAAGAATCCTAATTTAATATTTCTTTGTTAATTTTCTCTGATATAATTTCAAAAAGTCAAATGATAGCCTAACAGATATGTTACAGATTTGAGTCAAACCACAACAAATAAAATGGTGAGAAACGTTTCTAAATATAAAAATATAAAATATATTTTTTTTTGTTTTTACAACTAAATTTTTTTTAGTGTGTAATAGTTCTTGTGTTAAAGTTCTTTATAGTTGTTTGTTAAGACAAAAAGAGGCAAGGGAAAAACTGAGGAGGATAGTGTAAATGTCACATAGCTTGGTGAAGAAGAGTGTAAGTGTCACATAGCTTCATGAAAAAGAGTCTAAATGTCATGTAGCTGAGTGAGGAAAATTTCAAGTGTCACATAGCTCAGTGAGAAAGATGGATGAATGAGTAAGGGAATCTCTTTGAAGCCATGCATGGTGTATGTTGCTGCTCCTTCTCCTTACTGGTTTTGTCCATCTGAAGACTTTACTTAAATACTCTTCAAAGGGATCACAAATAATTTTTTTTTTGTTGGTGGGAATGTGACCTGTTGGTTGAAAAATGTTCAGTATTTATTTTCGAAGGATTAATTTATTAACCAGAAGGATGCATCAATCCTCTGACACAGAAACCATTTTTTGTCATTTCATGATTGACTGACTTGGTGTTTATTTCCATCTTGCCTCCACAGATACTTCATTTGCTTGGATATCACTGGATTGGATGTTCAAATTATAACAGTCGCTTAATTTTTATTATATCTGTTTGCATTTTAATGTGGCTGTTAAATAATAGTTTAGCAGACTGTTATTTTTTTGTGGAAGTGTATCTTGGCTATGACTTCTGAAGATTGACCTTCAAGGTCAGATGGAAGACATAATAAGGAAGTCAATTTTGACTGGCTGAGCATAGATAGAAAAAGATTTTTCAGCAAATCGAGTCTTACACATTAAACAATGTAGGTGTGTTCACTTAGGTGTCTGAAACGGCTCCTCAGTGAGTGGTGAGGGTGACTTCTACTGGATAGTTAGTACATGTCAACATTAATAAAACAGTTAAAATAAAGGTTAAAATTTTCTGTGTTAGAGTCTTTTCCTTGCTTAACTAAATCAACTAGTAATCGCCAGCCAAGAGAAGACAAGATGAGACCACCCCCACCATGGGGCTATGCAACATGACTATTAACAAAAAACAAAAAAAATGAAAAAAAGTGACATGGGGTTTTATATAGAATTCTCAGTCTTAGGAAAATAGCAATATTCATCATTCTGATATCTATATCATGATCAAAATTAAGAAGAATGTGGTGACACAGATTTGAACTCTGCTAGAAAAAATAAATTTATTAAGACTCTCAAAGGCACAGGCTGGTAAACAAAGATTTAGACATTAAAAATAAAGCAGAGATGTCTATTCAAACGTGTGTATCTACTAATGTTTAAAGTAATACACAATAATGTCAGATTATAGATAAAATCCATTAATTTCTTAGAGATTACTTTGTTTACATTTCAGATATAAAAATAAAAGCAGGTAAAGCAGCTCTGAGAAATCTGAACAAAAGACATGCATTTCTTACATAGTGTATTTGAACTTTGATCGTGAAAGTCTTCTGTGGCTGAGTGGTCTAAAAGTGGTTGCCCCTAGAAGGGTGGACAAAGGTTCAAACCCTACCAAAAATGCACATTTTCTTTAGTAAGACTCATAAATGTACAGTCCAGTAGATATAGATTTACACTTTAAAAAACAAGAATATCTACTCATCTATATATGGTTTATGGCCATACCACATTAAAAGACCAGTTCTTGTCTGATCACCAAAGCTAATCAATGTTGAGCCTGGTCAGTAACTAAATAGATGACAGATTGAGAATACCTGGTGCTATAAGCTTGGATATCCAGGTGATGTAATGGAGAACAGTTCAAAATTGGAGTTTGGATATCCGAGTTCCAATTCCAGCACATTCATTATACTCACTTATGTGCAAATATATTTGGGAAAGGTATGAATCCACTTCTTCTCCCTCTGGCTATGGGTTAATTAGTAAGACTTGTATAGGGTGAAATGAGTAAATTTTTGACATTTTATATTTTTAATTTTGTGCATTGTTTGTTTTTGATTTTGTCAACTGCACAGCATAATAGGATCAGTTGGGCACCATCTGTGAGAAAAAGAGCACCATGATGCAATTCACTCCACCAGAAATTTGGAAACAGCATGCTTCACTGCTTGGCATTTGTGCCAGAAGCTCCAATACAAATATTTCAGAGTGTGTGGTGTCAATCTGAGGACAGTGTAGAGGGTTCGGAAAGAGTTTGCTGAGTCTAATGGTGATTACGAAGGTGTTGGCAATGTTATGCCTCCATTCATCTTCCTCACAAGCCCTTAGACTCAACATGGAGGCCTACATCAAGTGCCTTGAGGAGGTAGTGCTGCCCTGGGTCAAGAGGGTGGCTGCTAGAAGACCCTATGCCTGGCAACAAGACTCTGCATCTTGCCACACAAGCAGGAGAACCTGCCAGACAATTTCTGCAACCACATCACCCCTTACATCTGGCCATTTCACTCCCCAGATTACAACCCCCTTAATTATTATGTGTGTGGTGCAGTTGAGTGAGAGACCAACAAAACTGCTTGTAATACCAAAGATGAACTGAAAGCAAGTATTATGGCAGCATTCAACAACTTAAACAAGGAAACTGTCCATAAGAGTTGCTGGAGATTCTGAAGTCATCTAGAGGTCGTGACTGAAACCAATGGCAATTTTATTGAATAAGTTTACTCTTTAGTATTTCAAGATAATTTTGGTAAATATATCTATTAAAATGAGATGTCAGTGTTATTTTCCTTCTTGCGTAATTTATACAACAATTTATCTGCTGCATCCTGTAT